AAACTCATGGGTTGAGATAAGAACAGTTCAATAACTGATATAAAATAAAGTATAATATTAGTAAAGAACATACAAAGCAAGTGATGCATGATGCAATCGCTCATCACCTGCTGACCAATGCCCAGCCCATCCCCCATCCCCCCAGCCAACTCCCTCCAGTTTCTATACTGAGCATGATGTCCTATGGTATGGAATAGCCCTTTGGCCAGTTGGGGTCAGCTGCCCTGGCTGTGCCCTCTCCCAGCTTCTTGTGCACCTGGCAGAGCAGGGGAAGCTGAAAAAGTCCTTGACTTAGGGTAAACACTACATAGCAACAATTAAAACATCAGGATGTTATCAACATTATTCTCATCCTAAATCCAAACCACAGCAGCACTACACCTCTACCCCAGCCGAAACCAGGACAAGGCTATACATCTGTCCTCTGCCCATACCAAGCACCAGAGCTCTCCCAGGAAAAGTGCAGAGTGTACGATGAAGGGACAGGATGCAATTGCATTCTCCCCAGAGACAAGTTTCTTCCTAATTCTCATGAGTTCCTGGTTGGATTTTGCCTTGAAGCTGAAGGGCTTATATATTTTATAAGTTTTTATTCTATCTCCACAACAGTCCAGAGTTCTCCTTAATAACATTCAAATTACAAAGGGAACGAAGGGAGGGGAAAGGGAAAAAAGAGGAATGGAAAGGAAAGGGAAAGGGAAAGGGAAAGGGAAAAAAGAGGAAAGGAAAGGGAAGCAAAAGGGAAAAAAGAGGAAAGGGAGAGGGAAGGGAGAGGGAAGGGAAGGGAAGGGAAGGGAAAGGAAGGGAAGGGAAGGGAGAAGATGTAATTAGGATAACCTAATTGAGTTCAAATTAGATCAACACATTCTGGAACACATGTAGCACGTTTCCTGGACATGCGGTCTGTCCCAAGCCTGGGTGCTCCCCTAGGTCCCGCTCCACCAGGGCCACCCCACCAGCACTGTAACATGCAAACCAGCAACAGCAGCAACCAACAGCAGCACAGACCCAACCGTTCCTGGTAAATCCCACTGCCACCAGCTGGGGACAAAGGCTTATGGACTCACAGCTACTCGAGCATTTTAAAAATGATTATCAGGTTTGATTGTGCTTTGGAGCTAACTTCTGCAAGATCTTAGCCTCCCCTTCACCCCTCACAGTCTGGACACTCGAAGGCAGCGAAAGCATCCCAAATCGGTGCCACCAAACTCTCCAGCACTATGTCTGCAAGGCCTCATCATCCCGATACCGTTGGCGGATGCCAACTCAAACAAGAAACAGTGAGCACAATGTGGATGGAAGAAATGGACTTCTCCCTGCATTGATGGAGACAGAGCGGCGCATGGCAGCAGCCCGGCAGCCCCTCCTCACCGAGAGGCACTGAGCTGGGACAGCAGACCGCTGCAGGTGCAGAAAACCCACGGAGCTCGAGCCTCTCCACAGATTTCCTATGCTCCTTCCAAAGTCACAATATTTTAATTGATATTTCTTGTGAGAATTCAACAGGTGCAACATAAATCCCACGGATTGTGCTGAATCCCACAAAACCTTGACTTTCATTTTGGAAAGGCGGGGGGGAGGGAGAAGAGGAATTTTCTTGCTCTTTGGGTTTTTAGCCTTGAGCTACATGAGACAGAAAAAATGTTGTGTTTTTTTATGGTTTTTTTTTATGGCAGCTCAAAGTGCTGCCAGATTAAAATAAGTAGCTATTCATCTTACTTTTCTGAAAGGATGATTAACTCGTTGAGAAAATCTCATTAACTCTAACAATACATTCAATTATAGCAGAAGTACAGTAGGGACAAACTGGGCTTTTCCTTATGCGTCCTGGAGCGGGGGGCAAAAGCTCCTGCATCCATTTCTGCCCCTTCAGACATACTCAGCAAAGCAGATGGGACAGCAGCAGTGGCAGGAAGAGAACCTCTGGATTTATGGATACACACTAGCACCCTGTTAAAAACAGTTAACAGACCCATTCTACCATGGTTTTAGTTACGAGGTGAGAGGTACTAGTGGTAATGAAGGCAGATGCCACAGCATTTGATTTCTTTAACATTAAGTCATGATGTATCTCCTCTTGGTTTATTCTCTACTTGACCAATGGCTCAATATCTTCAGGGCTCCACATGCTACACAGATAAACAACAAGCAGATAGGGAGGCAGATGCTGGAAATAAAGACAGACTTCCACTTCTTTTTTTTGCAATTGTCCGTGTAGAATATTTCTCTAAGAAAATTCCTGATAAGGTTTCTGTTAGAGGGTTTGGAGGGTTTTATGGTCTTGTATAAAAAAAGTTGTATAAAATGTTCATTCACTCCAAAACTTCAGACCACCTAAGAGGACCATATTTCCAGCATTTAGAAAGTGAGCGAGCTGATAACCCGCAAATCTATGTGTTCTTCTCCACACTCCCGTACCCATTTCTCTGCTCTTTTACCTGATCTGGAGTTTGGTTTAAGTGCCTGGAACAGGTCCTGCACTGATGCCGGGCTAGTCTGATAGTCGCCTAGAGGAAGGAACAGAGGTCCGTCTGCTGACAGATGACGATCAACTGATGGATGAGGTTTACACCTTTCGGAAAAAAGCTTTTTTTCTTTTAAAATTAATACTAATGCTCAGCACCACAACAGCAGCGACAATAAAGCTTCTGGTAGTAGTAATGTTATGCTAACATTGACAACAGTAACACAGAATTTTACTGAGAACACACTGATGATCTTTAAATCCTATAATACTAATTTCACTCTAGCACAGCGAAACATGTGACCTTTAAAGCAGAAATAACAAACTAGGGAGAAGGGACAATCCCTCCATTCCTTCTGTTATACGTACCAAAGGGGAAGAAATGGCGCTTTTTTTTTCCCCACAGAAAATGTGAAATTTATCGCTGAGGATGAAAAGTTGAAATGTTGAAATTTTTTGTAAATAAAAACCTAAAGCAACCCAAATCACAAAATATGGATCAACACAAGCAAAACACTTACCTTACTCCTCCTTGGTGCCTTTTATCGATACCTTGGTTTAAAAGCAGAATGAAAAAAATTGCATTAAAATAAAAAACCTTAAAATATATGCTTAGGTGTTTAAATGCATTATTCTGACTTTCTAAACATTTTTTCCTGATTTTTAAACAAAAAAATTGATGAAAATGGATGTTCTCCAACAGATGGTACATGTTTATGAATCCAGAATTTTTGACAAAAAGATAATTTGGGGGAAATTCCTCCTTGATTCTAAGTCATCTTTGCCCTCCTCTAAAAGCCCAAGGAACTCTGACACCTGGTAGTTTCTCTCTAGCCCTGAGATGGGATGGATACACCTGAGTTTGGAAGGGCTGGTGACAGTAAAGCCCTGCTCTGAGCAGCAGGAGAAAGACCAGCTCTTCTCCAGAGGGAATTGCTGTGAGATGTTCTGCCGAGTGACTGAGGGGATGTAGGGGGGGTCCAAAGAGAGTGGGACCAGGCACATCCCTCATTTCCCCCTAGCAAAGCAGGTTTATCTGCATTTATAAAGAACACAAAGCCGAGAGAATGTTACCTGCAGTTTAACTAGGGAGTAAGTGGAAAGTTTAGATAAAAGTCTTTCAAGGAAAAATTATGAGCTGAATTACAGTAGAAACAGTTGCTATATGGATAAGGCAAAATATTTGACAAGGAAAACATCTCTGAGAAGAAAGCACAAGGGTAGAGCTATTATAGCCTCTGAGGCCTTTTCCCTCAGACTTCTTATTTTATAACATATTTCTAAAACACAACACCCACAACTGTTTTTCTTCATCTATCAAAGCATAAAATTGCCAGTCCTTTGACCTAACTTAAATGAAGGAAGTAGCAATGTTAGGTTTAATTAAAAACAGCAAATATTTATACAGCTGTCCCTGGTTTCACAGCACAGAAATAGGTTTAGCATAAAATCTTACAGTTTTAAATCCTCTGGGAACCATATACAAAAACATATAGGATCCTTCTGGTTGACTTGCCAAAGCCAGAAATGCTTTTTTTTGGAGTTATTTCAGGTGGGGCTCATTCAGCCTTCCCGTTTCCAACCCACTGTTTTCCTACTTGAGATTTTTTTTTTTTTTTTAATTTTTTCCGTGCTCCAAACACGGTACTGTCAGCTTGACAGATTTGGATGCATTTGATGCATTTTGGGGTTGTGAATAATAATAAGAACAGTAAGAAAACTGAGGGTAGGCTGAGAAGTTTTGACTTAGCAGCAGACCTAGCTTTTTTGGTAGAAATCCTGACAGCTGGACCCAGCTGGGCGTTTCCAGGGGTCCCTGCCTCTTGGTGTGGGTGCCACTGGGAAGCGCCTGACGTGGGATGCAGAAGCATCAACCAGATCCGTACTGAACAAGCCCGAAACTGGGATGGGTTTGAAACGAAAGGTTTCACTCCTAACCCTTGCTCTCCTTTCAAATTACCCATCGAAACACATTGTAAAATCCTCCAGCACCGAGCTTTATAATGCAGCCTCTGGAGGGCTGACTCCACGCACATCCCACCCCCTTGAACAGGCCAGCCTTGGCAAGCCCGCTCCCAGCAGGGACCATGAGAGGATTTACACTGCCTGGTGCAAAAGGCTCAGTGACCCTGAGCCCTGCAGCCACCTGCCTGTCCCTCCTGGCCACGGGTAGGTTTCAACCTGCCAAGCACCGAGCTTTATAATGCAGCCTCTGGAGGGCTGACTCCACGCACATCCCACCCCCTTGAACAGGCCAGCCTTGGCAAGCCCGCTCCCAGCAGGGACCATGAGAGGATTTACACTGCCTGGTGCAAAAGGCTCAGTGACCCTGAGCCCTGCACCCACCTGCCTGTCCCTCCTGGCCACGGGTAGGTTTCAACCTGCCAAAGCCAGCCCGGGGGGGCTGGAGGGGTGGGTGGAGCGGGTGGCCACCCACCACGGGGCCAGAGATAAGAGGGAAGAGGGAGGGAAGGGGCCAAACTGTGTTTAAAAAGCCGCACCCGGGTCTGGAGCGGGAAAGGAGGTGCAAAGGCTGATGGCTGGTCTTGCCTCTCTGCTTGTGTCCGTCGGGCACCAGGCAGGGGCTCTCCGCACCCTCCGGGCTGCTGCAGCCCCCCATCCTCCCCGCAGCCCCCTGCAGCCTTCCCACACCCAAGCCTTCAGCGTCAGCAGGTCTGGCCCAGCTTGGCACAGCCTGGGAGAGGAGACGGAGGTGTCTGAGCCTGGTGGGGCTCAGGACCTGGAGGAAGAGAGAAAAGCCCCAGGGAAAAGCCCTAAGGAAGGAGAAGAGAGTGGAGAACTATCTCCTCTCAGCCCAGGTGGGCCCAGGCCAGGGCTGGCGAGGCGAGAGACGCTTCGAGAGATGGCTCTGCGCAGCAAGATGTCCCGACTAGTGGAGGCGACTTCCCGGCTTGTACAAGTAGAACAGACTCTCCTGCTCCCTCTCCTACAGCAGCATCCTCTTCCTCTCCACCCAAAAGTAAGTAAGAGACAGAAGTATACTTATCTCGTCTTGGGCTTTTGGCAAGAAGGGCAGTGGACTGCACCCATAATTGCATGCGCTGGGTCTTGCCATGTGGACTGGAAGAGTTTCATTTACATTAATTTTCAGTTAAGTAATTTAAGCCTACAGCCTGCAAAACAGAAAGCTACTGACAATTCAATGTAGTTGCATCACAGGGGTTCAGGGGATAATAACACTTTTTGGCAGAATGAAGGCTTACTGACATGCTGAGTAGCCTGGAAAGATTATTTAGAGCTTTTTCAGAAGCCAGGTTTATATGTCTAAATTTCTATGAATGCACATAAAGTCTTAAACTAGAAAGCTATTCTCCAGTTCTAAAAGAGCCAAAAGACAACACAAGATGCAGCGAGGACCGGTAACCTGCAAGTGAAACACGACTGAACCACAGAGCCCACAGCTGTTCCATATTGACACACTATATATCCAGCATATGAGACCCAGTGAACATACACCTGAAAAAATCCTCAATTTTCTGATAAATACAATGGTTATGCATATTACCCCAGGAAGAAGGCTAAGAAAAAAAACTAGGTATGGGCTGGCAATTCATGGGTTTAGCTGTTGGAGTCCAGTATGTCTCCCACATCTTGTTTCAAGTCAGTTTACTTTGGCATTGCCCAAAAGGTCTTTACCTTATGATGAGTCTTGGGTGTTGGGTGTACCATGTGGAACAAGATGGGAGTTCTTAGCCAATGTTTAGTACCAAAGGTGCATACCACAGAAACCCCAGTAGTAGTAGACACCAATTGCTGGGCCAACTGAGCTAGAACTAGAATCTGCTCTTTTACTTTTATGCCAACCTTCCCAGCACAGACCAGCACAGTGTCGAAGCTGGGGGATACTGAAGCAGCAAAGATGTAACCACTTAAGGTCTCATCTGGTGGGTAGATATTTGTGAAAAAAAAATTTCTGGTTTCTCAGTATTTTGGTGATGAATTTGAGATATTGCAAGATACTGTCTTCACACATGCTCGATCAATATACTGAGTCCAGCTGGCTTTGTGATTGTTCACAATTTGTTAAAAATCAAGTTATCTCAAGTCAAGATACCACTCACTCATAAACTCAGTCACCAAGAATCAGAAGCAACCTTTGAACACTTGGGTCCAAACGTTTTCCAGGAATATCCATCTAAGAGTCCACTAGGAATAAATACACCTAGAGATGGAAGGGGTGATGTTGGAAGCTATGCATGATGTAAAAAAAGTGTGTTAAAAATCAGATGAAATTGTTAGACCTTATTCTTCAAAAATGAGAGTACAGTGACAGGTTGGACTTCTGCAATACCAATTTTCCAGTGAGACTTCTACATTGCTCGTAATTTAAAATAAACAAGGCTAATGACATTTTTTTTTTGTACAAACAAATGCTATCTTGATGAAATACAGCCACCTCAAAGAAGGTTTTATTTTATTCCTCATCTTTCCCAGAACTGCTTTAATATCTACTTGTATGAAAGCATGTGTTTGGATACCACTGGGAATACAGTTTACTTTGGATTCTGATTTTTCTATTCTACTTGAAGCTAAGTTAGGTCATTTTTTCACTGAAAACCCATTATCATGACCTGTTGAGCTCTGGGACTTTCCACCCTTCCCTTCTAAAATGAGGTTACATAAATTCTGCATTAGGATTCCTCAGACCCTGCATCACGGATAACCGACCCCTTTAATTGTGAGTAGTTTCACTGCTGCAGATTTGATTTTTAAGTAAATTGGATTCCAAGGGATCCATTTATATTATAACCTGTTCATAAATTCAGATGAATAAGCCCTTGAAAGTAAGCTCTAAGCCAAGGAGTTGGCCAAAGTCCCTTCAGAATGTCAGCCCTTGGTATCATGTCCTTCCACTTACTGTTTTTGAAGGAAAGCTCTGGGTTTATGTCTCAGAGACACTGACTCATGCCAGTAGTCAGTATTTGATACTTCTCATTTACTGCCATGGTGATGTCTCTTTCAGTTCCTTCTTGACAATCCTGACTTCCCTGTCTTCCATTTGTTTTGGGGTTGTTCTGTGTTTTCCTTTTATTGGTTTATGGTATCAGTATTGGTTTATCAGCTGAACTGGTTCAAAAAATCACTCTGTAAAATGGTCCCAAAACACATAGACACAGGCTTGAAGCAAAAATTGATTCAAGGAATGGGAAGGACAACACTGAAACAGCCCATCTCCTGCAGGTACTGGCAACAATGCTTTCTGCTGCGCCCCAGTGCCCGTTAGACAGTGCTAGTCCTCAGCAATTAAAAGGTGGGTGTTAATTTCTGATGAAAAGCGACACCCTCCCAAGAATTTGGAGCAAACCCTTTGCTAGCGACAGCAAATGCGTTGTTACTGATTTTGCCTGCAGTACGACCACGAAGAGACTGCTTAGCCAAAGGGTCTGTGTGAAGATGGGGAAGGGTGAGGGACTTCTTTCCCCTGTCCTGGGACCCAGGGGACCACATCACCCCGCTGCCTGACCCGCTGTTTACTGGCATCGCACCCACAAGCAAACTCCTCGCGCCTTCTGCCTCCACAAAGACGCCCTGTAATAATGTCCGCGTTTTCTCTCTCCCGTAATTACACACTGCCAAAGTGAACAGAACGGCCTATTTTTTTTATTTTTTTTTTTAATAGAGATTCTGTATTTTAAGCAGCAATGTGAATGCATTTGAAAAGGAAAAATATGAGGTATAAAAGCTTCCCGAAATAGCAGCGTGCGGCTTGCCCTGGCTGTGCTCAGGTGCAGCTATGCATTACCCCAGCTTTCTGATAACATCCTGTCTCCTGCGCTGAAGTTACCGAGGGGTCAGGAGGACGGTACTAAATCAGAAATGTGTAGCAGATTGGACTGGGCCAATCTCAACGGCAGCCAGCAGGGAATGGAATATAAATCACGCTAAGAAGTTAAAATAGCCATCCCATTTGCAAAACAGTCATGGTATTTTCTTTAAGGGGGAAAAGAAAATAGTGTCCTTAAAAGGTGCCAGATTGGCAGGGTGGGATAATAAAAAAACTTCTGACTGTGCAAGTTTCTCCTGCCCCTGTGCTACGGTGCCGCTGCTCTGCCTGGTGCTGAGGAAGAAGGTCGGGGTGGCAGGCTCGGCGCTTCTAGCCAAAAGGGGCAGCATCAGCAGACGTGAACATCCACGTGTAGTCCCCTTGCCCTGGATCTCCTGTCAGGGTGAAACAGTGCAGTTGCTGTGAACAGAGCGCTTTGGCTGGAACTCAGGATAAAAAAGAGAGTTTATGACCTTTGGAAGAAGGGGCAGGCAACTCAGAAGGACCACAAGGATGTCATGAGGTTATGCAGGGAGAAAATTAGAAGGGCCAAAACCCAACTAGAACTTAACCTGGCTGCTGCCATTAAAGACAATCAGAAATATTTCTGTAAATACATTAGCAACATAAGGAGGGCTAAGAAGAATCTCCATCCTTTACAGGATGCAGGGGGAAACATAGTGACAAAGGATGACAAAAAGGTTGAGAGGTACCTAATGCCTTCTTTGCCGAGGTCTTTAATAGTCTGACCTCAGTGCTGGGGAGGGTTATGGAGCAGATCATCTTGAGTGCCATCACTCGGCATGTACAGGACAACCAGGTGATCAGGCCCAGTTGGCATGAGATTATGAAAGGCAGGTCCTGCTTGATTAACCTGATCTCCTTCTATGAGAAGGTGACCCGCTTAGTGGATGAGGGAAAGGCTGTAGGTGTTGTCTACCTAGACTCTAGTAAAGCCTTTGGCACAGCATTCTCATGGAGAAACTGGCTGCTCATGACTTGGACGGGTGTACTGTTTGCTGGGTAAAAAACTATCTGGATGGCCAGGGCCAAAGAGTTGTGGTGAAAGGAGTTAAACCCAGTTGCTGACCAGTCACAAGCGGTGTTTCCCAGGATTCAGTGTTGGGGCCAGTTCTGTTTAATGTCTTTATCAATGATCTGGACAAGGGGATCAAGTGCACCCTCAGTAAGTTTGCAGATAACACCAAGTTGGGTGAGAGTGTTGATCTGCTTGAGGGTAGAAAGGCTCTACAGAGGGACCTGGACAGGCTGGATTGATGAGCTGAAGCCAATTGCATGAGGCTCAACAAGGCCAAGTCCCGGGTCCTGCACCTGGGTCACAACAACCCCATGCAATGCTACAGGCTTGGGGATGAGTGGCTGGAAAGCTGCCCAGTAGAAAAGGACCTGCAGGTGTTGGTCGATAGCCGACTAAATGAGCCAGCAGTGTGCCTAGGTGGCCAAGAAGGCCAACAGCATCCTGGCTTGTATCAGTGGCCAGCAGGAGTACGGAAGTGATCGTGCCCCCGGTGAGGCCGCACGTTGAATACTGTTTTCAGTTTTGGGCCCCTCACTACAAGAAAGACACTGAGGCACTGGAGTGTGTTCAGAGAGGGGCAGCGAAGCTGGTGAAGGGTCTGGAGCACAAGTCTGCTGAGGAGTGGCTGAGGCAACTGGGGTTGTTTAGCCTGGAGAAGAGGAGGTTGACATAAGGTCTCTACAACTGCCTGAAAAGCGGTTGTAGTGAGGTGGGTGTTGGTCTCTTCTCCCAAGTAACAAGCAATAGGACAAGAGGAAATGGCCTCAAGTTGCGCCACAGGAGGTTTAGATTGGATATTAGGAAATATTTCTTCACTGAAAGGGTTGTCAAGCATTGAAATGGGCTGCCTAGGGAAGTGGTTGAGTCACCATCCCTGGATTTAAAAGACATTAGATGTTGCACTTAGGGACACGGTTTAGTGGTGGAATGGCACTGCTAGATTGCTGGACTTGATAATCTTAAAGGTCTTTTCCAACCTAAACGATTCTAAGATTCTATGATTCTATTCTAAATCAGCCTGGTGGCATTTAATTTGTATCAAGAGTGAGTCATCACTGGGACTCAAGTGATGCCATGAAGGCAGCCCTGCTAGGCTTCCTGCAGGCAGGCAGGCAGGGGGAACAGTGCATTGTCCCTGCTAAGCCTACCCACAGTGATGCCAGTCACAGCCTTTGTTTTCCTGCTATATTGAGACCCATCCTTGGGGAACAAAACAGAAATCGCAAGTTCATTGCAGGCCAGAAAACAGCACAGTATCAGTCATCGTTGACCCCGGTCACAGGTGAACCGAAGACCTGGAGATGTCCTGCTCCTCAGGAGAAGAGCAGCGAGGGTTGGTGCAGCCAGGCATCTCTGCCAGCTGCTCAGCCCAGCATAAACCCAGGGCTCTTCACCCAGGGGATTTGCACATTTTGGGGGAGGAATATGGAACGGGTGTCTGTTGCTAGATGACATTTCTAATGGTAGTTAATAAGCTTGTTTTCTGGTTGCTGATTTCCTGACACAAATCAGAGATTGGTTCTCAGTACCAAAGTGACTCTTTCTTCCTTATGCGAGAGATCTGAAGACTGATTCATAAATAATGGCTTAGGGGTGACGGAAACGAGATAAATTGCTTTCATTAGAATTCGCATAAAACAGCAGCAGAGTCCCTGCTTGCCACCACAGATTGAACAAATGTGCCAGCGTGCACGTTTTTCATTTTGCAGCCACTGATATTATGAAGTTGTTCCTGGACCTAATAGCTTTGAATGTTCATTTTTTAAAGTAATTAATATGAAGAGTGATCCTGGAAAAAATTGCCTCACCCTTCATAAAGTTATTTGCAAGCTGTAGGCATCAATACTCGTTTGTGTGGATATTTTTTTAAATACTGACAAATGGACAATTTGAAGTTCTTCAAGTGAGGAATTGCCTCCAAGATCTTTCTGGAAGCTCGGAGGAAATATGCTTAGGTGGTTCCATTTTATTAATATGATAGTGCTGCACCCCGCATGCATCTGCACCTGCTGTGTTAGAAAGAGGCTTTGCAGCAGCAAACCACAGAATCATAGAATCATAGAATCATAGAATGTTTTGGGTTGGAAGGGACCACTAGAGGTCATCGAGTCCAACCCCCCTGCAGTCAGCAGGGACACCGCCAACTAGATCAGGTTGCTCAGAGCCCCATCCAACCTGGCCTTGAATGTTTCCAGGGATGGGGCCTCCACTACCTCTCTGGGCAACCTGTTCCAGTGGTTTACCACCCTCATTGTAAAGAATTTTTTCCTTATATCTAGCCTAAACCTACCCCGATTTAGTTTAAAACCATTACCCCTTGTCCATTGAACAAATGTGCCAGCGTGCACGTTTTTCATTTTGCAGCCACTGATATTATGAAGTTGTTCCTGGACCTAATAGCTTTGAATGTTCATTTTTTAAAGTAATTAATATGAAGAGTGATCCTGGAAAAAATTGCCTCACCCTTCATAAAGTTATTTGCAAGCTGTAGGCATCAATACTCGTTTGTGTGGATATTTTTTTAAATACTGACAAATGGACAATTTGAAGTTCTTCAAGTGAGGAATTGCCTCCAAGATCTTTCTGGAAGCTCGGAGGAAATATGCTTAGGTGGTTCCATTTTATTAATATGATAGTGCTGCACCCCGCATGCATCTGCACCTGCTGTGTTAGAAAGAGGCTTTGCAGCAGCAAACCACAGAATGAACCTCACTAGGGGCTCGGGGGATTCTTTTTTTCACAGGAATAGTAACTTTACAAGGAATTAACAGCTCCACCATTCTCATTGGCATATGTCTTAGGAGGTGTCTTCCAAACGCAAGTGTTTTAGAAAACAGCAGGTGAGAGAGATGGATAGACTTGAGGTGGGGCTTGGTGAGAGATGGATAGACCTGAGGTGGGGCTTGTCTGCCTCGCGGAGGTTTCCCAAAGACTGAGCTGCTCAAGCTGTGCTCCCTTTAGGGTCATTGGAGAGAAAGAGGCACTCCAGATTCAGTTCATCCTATAACAGCCATCTAAGATGGGTCAGATAAACCATTCCTACTGCTCCCCGCTGACCACAACCATTTTATTCCTCCAGAAGTTGAGCTATCCTGCGTATTTATACTGGAAAAATATAAAATAGGTCAGGGGGGGTGGAGGCGCTGAGTTACCAGGAATGGACATTAGGAGCTCTGGCACTCCAGCCCCAATTCCCAGATTTTGGCCTGCCAATCATGGAGAGCATCCAGCACCTGGACCAGGGCACCACCACCGCCACTCTGCCTAGAATGGAAATTTTTTCTACTAGGGCGCATGGAGATTAAGAAAAAATGTTGAGGGTTGGCAGCAGGCTGGGATCTAAATTTTGAGCATGCTGAAGAAGAAGGCAGCTGTCTGTAAGAGGCAGCTGTCGGAATCTGTTTGATGGGTCCAGGTTGGCATCTCTGAGTAAAATAAAAGATGGAAGAAAGCAGTTCATGTCTTCTAAGGAAGCCTTTATAAAAGTGGCCTCTTCATAGACGCAAAGCAACTTGGTGGATAGTTTCAATTTTATGTTAAGGTTCAAAAATAAAAGCTGGGCCATCAGAAACATCCTGAAACTTCAGCCTACCACTGAGTGACAACTGCATGAAACAGACCCAGAGCAGTGGAAAATTTTAAGCCATAAATTAGAGAGCCTTGAAAACTAGTAGGCCATGCTGTTTTTGTTCTGGGGGAGGTTCTTTATTAACTCATCTGTCTAAACATATGGATCTTGACAAAGAAAGCTGCAGGGAGGATCTGCTCCTGTCCTGCAATTGAAAATACTTAAAATTAAATCACTGCAAATATTCCTGTTACCTTCTCTTAAATGTTGCTGTTGCTGTTGCTCTCTATCAGTTCAGCTCACAAGGGCCCTATTTCCTGAAGTTAAAATGGAAAGAATTTTAGTCTGAAACTTTTCCTTCAGTTAGTTACTGCCCACTTTTACTGAAAGGAGAGAGATAAGTCAAGCTTTTATTCTCTGTCATGTATCCTAAAGCTCCCATGTGCTAGACACCTGCAAAAGCTAGCAAAGCTAGCATGTTTACTTAGTGCAATTTATTTGACCTTTTAATATATTTGAGTAAGGATTTTATACCTAAGGCAACTTTACAGAACAGATTTGAAAGGTGACCTTCAAAGGAAACATCAAAATCGTTCTGAAAAAAGAAACTTTGGAAATATATGTGAAAAAGGCTGCTTTTCAGCTAACCTCCTGACTCAGGACTCCCTGGCTTTTCGGCACAGGGGTGTACCAGAGCAATGAGTTCACCTTGCCCACAGCAGACCCACAACTGCTATCGTACAATGCCTAAGGGCCCAAGAATGGTGTTGGATGGCTAGTTTTGATATTTCCACAACAGATGCCTTCTATTTGCTAGCTGGGGCAGCCATTCAGCGCTGGTTTTGATGTTAACCCGCATTTTAATCCTTCAACTGCAACTCCTTTTTGCTGTTACCATTATGAAGCTGGGATTGTCTAGGTGAAATGGAGTTTTTAAAACCGGTTTCTTTGTTGTTTTTCACAACAAAGGTAAAACCCGCAATAAGTCTGAACCTTCATGCCTTTAAGAATAACATTAAAACTCAATTTCCTCTCAGCTAAAAGCACAGGCTGCTACTGAAGAGTAAATACATCCAGTGAAGGAGGTGAGAGGTGCCAAAATCTGGTGTGCACCACATGCTCCGGGAGAAGGTTCCCCCAACCCCTAGCTTGCTCTGGGGCATTCATTGTGCGTGAGACCTAGCAAAAGCATCGGCTGTGACTGAGACCACATTTGCACATAAATTTTAGGATGACAGGCTGATCCTGCTGCCAGAAGAAGACGTCTTATCCCCTACACCTCCAAATGCTCATTCCCAGCACTGAGATGCTCCTCCCCTTGTGCTGACACAGCACTTTCCTAGAGCAAACCAGGCTGGGAAGCCATTGCAAGTTAAAGCTCTGCTTCTGTCATCTGCTCCTACCCCTCCTTTGGGGACAGATGGGGGTAGAGGGGAATGGTTTTTTTCAGTAGTTGTGTAAGTGTGCATAGTAGAGGTGCACCCCCTTGCAGTGCTCACAAACCTATGCTGGCCCAGCTTAACGGCAGGCAGAAGGTTGCCCCTGACATAGGCAAGGTCCTACAGCCAGTGGTGCTATAGGTCCTTAGGGGAAAACTGTCTCCACTTAGCTTTTTTTCTAAACACAGCAGGCAGGGGTTTCCATGAGCTGCAACATGTGTTGGTTTGACTGGATTAAGGAATGCATTTGCCCCATGCAGAACATTTCCCTAGCACAGGCAGGTGTTAGAACAGCACTTCTCATGCTGCAGGCCATGCAACATCTGAAAGACTGGGAATTCTTCGTCATTTGTTACGGCATGCAACCAGCAGAGCTATTGAGGTCACCTGTCTTCACTGATGATCCCAGTCATGCCACAGATGAGGGACTCTGCATGGATGTGATGCTTCAGCGAGGACTGCTGTCACAAAGTCCCCTTGGGAGCCACTGACAGCTCTCCAGAGATGCCTGGATATAACAAGGTCCTACCCTTGTCTCAGGGTAGGGCGAGTTGAATCGCTTGAGGACAGCTACAAAAGGTTTGTCTTTTTTAAAAAAAAAAATTAATTGCTGATGCCTGGGGAAGAAAGTGCCCCTTAAACGTGAGTAGGTGAACTGCTACTCAAGGCTTCCTGCCATGACAGCTTGCAGCAGTATTTAAAGGTTACACTACATGTGTCTCAAAACTGAAGATGTTTCACACTAAATAAGAGATGAACACTCATGATTAGGAAGTTTTTGCTTAGAAAATCATGCCTAGAAAACTTGGGGAGCATTATTTTTCACTCACTTCTTTTTGCTTTTGCCTTTAGGATAGCATTGAGTTTAGAAACATCTGCAGTCGTATGGCTTTACAAAGAGAGGGACAACAATTTGAGAGGGACCTACATGAAGCCCACCAGTGTTTGAAGACCATCATTGAGAAACTCATTTGTTCATTGGCAGTTTTTCCCTCAGATTCTTATATCCCAGTTCGATCTGCTCTGAGACAAATCCTGCAAAATCTCCTGGCAATGTGAAACAGCAGGCCGCTTGGCCAAGGAATGAGCAAGACCCATGAGCTGTAATGGTCCTATAAAAATAACAGATAGCTTGAAAGGTGAATCTTGGAGGTTTTACTTTAGCAGGTGTTCCTGCAAAGTACTGAATAGCCTTCTCATATCAAACTCATACCGAGGTCATGTTAATGGGAGCTGGGAACATCTCCAGAAGTTGCTCTGGAGGAACAATAATTCATTCTTAAATAATAAGGTCTCCAAATGAATACAGAAAGATGGAGGCTGAGAAGACAACCATCAGAACTCCCTCTATTTTCATCACAGCTCAGGAGACTGGGGTTTCAAGTCATTCTTTATGGAGTGGACGCTTGAGAGAGACAGAGAAAATGTAGTGCTTAAATATGGACTCTTTCCTGAGAAGGTGCACAGCCTGATTACGCTGCAAATAAAGACAGCCTGCTAAATCTTTACTGCATTTTACCATAAGAAGCCAACAAACCAATGGAAAGGCGAAGGTGCAGTATCTTCCGTTGAGAAACAAAAAAAAAAAAAAGATGAAAAATATGTGGGACCAGTGGGATCAACCACTTTAAAGCAATAAAAGGTCTTGGTAGATGATCCAGAGGAGGTGAATGGAAAGCAAAGCAAAAAAGGCATTAACACGGTGAGGCAAAGGTATTTATAAACTGAGGTGAAACGTTTGTGAAGATTGCTTTGCAGGACTTTCTCAGCCCCTGTGTCTGTGCAGCACAGAGAATAAAGCTCCGCTCTCCTACTGCCAGTGGTTTAGGTTTATGAAGTCACTTACTTCTGTCAAACAGCCGCAGCTGGAATGCTGAGAAGAGGCATTTCCCCCCCACACCCCCGCCTCTTTTTACAACAAGATTTAATGTCTGTGTGATTGCTGAGCAGGAATAACGGCTTGTAAACTTTTTTTTTTTTCCAAAGGGATAAATTAAGCTCCTTTTAACTGTGATTTGGGTAGTAGGTGAGGGAATTTTGTAGACTATGAGATAGAAAAGTATCTCTTTCCATTGGCTGGAGGAGTGAATTTCCACATGTGATTTTTTTTTTTTTTTTCTTAACGTGTGATTGTGAACATCATCATCTGAATACTTTCCGAGTGTGGCTCCACACTCTGATTGATTTGCCATATTTTATGTTCACACTTTAAATGTTACACTGGTGTCATTCTCACAGCTATAATTGAGGCTACCTCAAAACACTTATTCACCGGTTCTTAGTGTGAATGCAGACAACTGCCCTGAGTTGAAATTTTGCATGGGATGTCTCAGCTTGGAATTAATTTAGAAATGGGAAGAAAAAACCATGAAGGTCAGGCCAGCACCAGATACCTCCTTTTTGTTTTTTTTTTCTTTTAAGCATGGCTCCCTCCCTCAAGGAAAGAGGGAAAAGGGCTCCACTGGGAGCAGAACATGGTGGCGTTTGCCGAAATGTTGTGATCTCCCGGGCAATGCTGAGCATAGTGGCAGGCACCGAACAAACAGAGGGGATGCACACAAAGGTGTTATATGCATCCCTCCACAGGTATTAGTGAGCGGGTAGCTACTGTCGTTGGCACCACCCTCCAAAGCGAAGGGACAGAAGCCTGAAGAAGGCCTGTGAAATGAGTCTTTTTGGCTATTTTTCTAATGTTATCCCCTTGGAGGAGAGACACATGAGCAGCAGAGAGGCTGGGGGAGGAAACCTGGGTGAAGGCAGCTGCAGCCCCTAAGCTCCCCCCACTTTGCAGAGTGCAAAGTGGTGCCATTGCCCCCACACACACACTTTGGTGTAACAGCCACCCACCGCAGCCCAGACCTCTCTCGCCCTGGCTGCAAGGGGCTGTTTCTTTATTATTTCACTTGTTTCTATTAGTTCACTCAATCTGCTTTCACACACAAGCACCCTATTACAGGGTCTGTCTTCCAGTTCCTTCAGCAGGGCATTAGCCCCAAGCACAAATGGTTTTATCTCCAGTTTCATCAAAAAGTCATTTAAAAGAAAAGCTTCCCCAAGGACCCTCTATGCCCCTCACTTGTATCCAGGTCAGTGCGCTGAAATCTTGGTCTGAATCTATAGCAAGATCTGACTTCACCAGGGCCAGGATCTGAGCTATGCTCTCCAGGTCAGAGCTCACATCATCAACGCTGAGAATGGGGCTGGCATTGGGAAGGCTCTGAAAAAAAAAGAAAAAAGGCTGATTTCAGCTCTTTTTGACCAGTCACATGCATGCGCGCACAAAATTAACGTCCAAGTGCAGAAGAACGAAACCAGTTGGCAGGTAATTTTCTCTTCAAGCTTCTAAGAAACTAGCAAGTGCTACAGATTAAAAGTACATTACATCTAAAAAAATACTCCAGCCACAGTTCCACCAAATTGGACAGGTTCCCTTCTGGATGGCTCTAGGCCTGCAGAGATCCCTAGCAGGTAAGAAACACAAGATGCAGAGACTTAGGGGGAATTTAGGCCTTCTGAATATGACTCTTTTTTTTTTTTTTAAAGAATTAATGTTTATTGAAAATTTCCAGAACTTTTTATTTCCCAAACATTCCCACTTAAAACGAATATTTTGATTCAAGGTCATTTAAAAAGAAAACATCGTTAAATTCTTTGAAATTCTGGCTAGAAATTTAAGAATCCCTTGGGAAACTTCATCTTGCATCGGACTATACAGCACGGGTTTTCAATTCCTCTCCTTGTCCTCGAGATGACGGTGCAATGGCATGGGAGGGTGATAGGTTCTCAGGCCCTGAGTCTGCAAACACTTTGGGTATGGTTTCGTGACTCAAAGTGCTCACATTACTGTGGTTTAATAAGTTACCAGCCATCAGCTGAGCTGTGGCAACTGCCTGTGCACACACAATTAGCTCACCCTAATTGCAAAATGTGCAGCTCACCCCCTTTCAGGAGATCAGTGCAGCTGCACATTTATATCAAGTTACCCCTTGGTATGTTTGAGGCTCAAGGCCCCGTTTCATCATATCTTAACCAAGATGGAGCATGGTAGAAGAAGTGAGCATCTGACATGCCCCTGGGGTAGGGATTCGCAGCTCGCCCGGCCTCGTGGCCTCGGCAGGCTAGCAGCCCCCTGCTGTGGCCAGCAGCCCTCGAGCCGGGGTGCGAGCTGCTCTCTGCAGTGTCGTGTTTGCTGTGCAGCAGATGAAAATCAGAGCATCAGATAGAATAGCCTGAAACAGAGCTACAAAAATGATCCGAGGGCTGGAGCACCTTTCCTATGAGGACAGGCTGAGAGAGTTGGGGTTGTTCAGCCTGGAGAAGAGAAGGCTGCGGGGAGACCTGATTGTGTCCTTTCAGTACTTAAAGCAAGCCTATGGGAAATCATAGAATGTTTTGGGTTGGAAGGGACCCCTAGAGGTCACCTAGTCCAACCCCCCTGCAGTAAGCAGGGACACCGCTAACTAGATCAGGTTGCTCAGAGCCCCGTACAACCTGGTCTTGAATGTTTCCAGGGATGGGGCCTCCACTGCCTCTCTGGGCAACCCCTT